GAATTAACCTGCTGGTTAGAAGTGGTGATAGAAAAAGGTTTAAATTTCAGTCCTCAAACTGCACTAGCTCAGATATGCTCACAAAAGACAATTAAGTGGCCTACCCTCATATTTTGATGAATTATATAAGCTACAAGTGGAGAGACCAAGGTTTTATATTATGCATAATACTGAGGTAAAATTCTTTCTAACCAGAGCCAGCAGACAGGTACATGCAAATGAAGACGGATAAAAGCAAACCAAGGAAAGTAATTCACTGTTGAGATATACATAATTACATGACAAGAACACAGAAGAGACATAGCTGTATGTCCAGAACCCAGAGGAAGGCAGTCCTATTTGCTCAGCCCAGGAGTCAGCTACAAGTGGCTTCTGCCCTGTTAGAGGATGAGAATGTTTCATAACAGGAACACAGGGATGCAGCTTTCAGACAAAGCAGTCCTTATTTAATAGCTTTCTGCAACACATCTTTGTCACTGGACCATGAAAAAAAAAAATTGAAGGAAATTATGCTGTAAGTTGTCCTGGCATAAAAACAATGACAGTGCTTGCCTGAAAACAGATGGTATGTGTAGATAAATAAGAGATGGAAACATTATTCTTGATTAGTAAATACAAAGTTCCTCCCTATGAAATACAGTATGAACTATACAGTGGTAGGAGAATTAGTGAATGAATTAGTGTTTTAAGCAAAACTGGAAAGTAACATGTGCCTGAATATCTTTTCAAATGAAATACAAAATTAGTGTTCACCCCTTAGTAAATATATATGCTAAGGCTGTACAGAAGATGCATTGTATTTTGTGTGAAAACAAGAGGAAAATCTCCTTTTTTTTCCTTCTGTGGCCACCATAAACCCTCAAACAATTTTATTCATATTTGATGAGCTCACTGTAGCACTTACAATTAAAAATTATATTAGAGTATCTGAACTTGTCACACAGGGTCTTGAAAAAGCATCTAAATTGTAATAATTAAACCAATGTCAAGTTTCTGCTTTTTTAAAACATCAAGTTAATTATGAGTTAATTACAAGTTTCTAAGGTATGGTGACATGTAGCATAGCAATGCACAGTATAATATATAGCTACAGTGAGAAACTTGCACATGCATTATAAATAAGCACATCCATAAGGTGTGAAATCAACACAATAATCAGATCAAAAATGGCTGTATCACTACCATAAATTTTCAGAGAAAGTGGGTACTTACAGAGATTTAGTAAGAAAAAAGAGTAGTTACATGTGGTAGAAGAAAGGCAGTTTGATTATCTCCAACATATTTGTGATTTTATTAACTGTATTATTGTTCCACTAAACAACCTCACCCAAAAGTAAAAGCCATTTGAGCCACTGAATCCTCTGCTCTCTGCTCAAGCCTAGTCCATAAATCCAGTTATACAAATTAACTAAATCAAGAGAAGGTATGAAATAGGAGTCTGAAGCAGGAAGTGTTTGCCCAGCATGGCATCTTTTCTCCAGCTACATCTTTGATGAAATAATATATTACTACTTCCTATAAATCCTATTTCTTTCACTTCTATACTGATATAACATGCTGGGATTCAGAAAATAAAAGGGTATTAATGATTATTTTTCCAAAACTTACAATAAATATAAAGTAGTCTGTATTTTCAAAAGACAGAAACATTTACTGTTTTGACAAGCATTAATAAACGGTATTCAGTTTCATTCTCAGCTAAATATTAATCCCTTCAATTTAAAAATGACATTAATTGGTTAAAATTCTGAAGAAAGACAAGACAATCTTAGAACATGATTCAAAGAGATATTCAAGCCGAAAAATGCTTGCAAGGAGAAAATTAACATATAAGAAGGATTAGTTACATCTAGTAGAATAAAAACATGTATGTCAAAATTATATCAAAAATACAGTAAAAAAATCTGAAGCCTGAGGAACATAGCTATCAATAAATGAGATGAGTATAACATAAGTGAAAGTGAGATTTGCTCAGCTCTTACCACAAACACAGCTCACTTAACAAACAATACTGTCATTGTGAATAAAACTTTAGCATCCATCTTAGGGGAAAAAAATTCCATCAAACAGAAAATATAAACACAAACCTCCCCCCCAAGTCTCTTCCTTCCCCACAAACACCAAAAAAGCTTCAGCAAAATACATGAACCTGAAGTCTTTTTCAGAGAGAATATCTGAATGAGTATGACTGATTAATTCGATGAGCTAGAATTCAAGAGCCAAAACCCAGGTAGTGTTAGGATTGAGAACCTATTAGAATACAGACTGAGTATCCCAACGTTTATGAAGAATTATTAAGCATTTCACACTATCCACCCACTGCTCATATGAGTCTTATACTTCAGGACACTCATGTGATTTGACCCTGCCATTAAAATTTACTGTTCAGAATGGGGTTGGGAAGGAAAGAAGTATTTTAGAGATACAAATGAAAAGAAATTTTTGGTAGATACTACAATAACAAAAACTCTCCACAGTAATTTAATCAGTGATGCACAATTATTTTAATTATTTTTAAAGAACTGGATGTGTGACACTTCACATACTCTCCTTTTATGGGGAAGTTTCACAAAGAGCAAGCACCCTGATCTTCAAAATTGTTTTTGAGAAAACATAGAATGAAATGTTTTGGAACTACATTAGGAAAAGCTTGTAATGCCAAAGATGTCAAATGGTCAAAACCTTCTCCTCCAGTGGCTCCTGAATTAAATAATAAAACAGGGCTTGACAACAAAATCAGGGTCAGTGTATGAGTCACACTGTAGCTGATCACATACATAAACTGCATATAATTTCATCATAATTTTTTTCTAACATGGTTATTTTTAAGCTATTATGACAACTACCTTCTGAGTAACTGGACTAAAAAAATGTATGACTACATGTCTAAGAAACAGAAAGAGAACTACCTTTACTTTAATACTGAAATAGTAACATAAATCAGAAAATGTTATGAATGTTCAGATACATTTTGAAAAACAAAATTCTAGAATATTCTAAATATATGAAAGGGGAATTCCAGATACAACAACAGAAAGAAAACGTTTCCTTAAAACATCTTGTTTGGCTCCTGAGGCTTGTGTACATTGGATCAGCACCTCTTGGACTGTGCCTACTCCCCCACAGTTCTGATTCCACTTTCTGTGAAACCCCTTCAAGAGTGTATAAGAACCAATTGCCTTTAAAGTCCTCTGCAGCCATTTAAAACCATTATAAGCTCAGCATGAAGAGTTAGAGGGAAAAAAAGATGCTAGAACACATGTTTCCAAAATACCTCACAAATTTTTGATTGCAGTAGGTAACTGCCCCTTCTCTTTTGAAAGATTCTCAGTAACTTGTACAGAAATTTTCAAATCTGTAGGACAGATAATTTTAAGAAAGAAAGGGAATTACACTGTTATTTTGCTGAGATGATACCTGACTTGTATCACAAACAAGTTGGCAAACATATGCCAAGACACATGTAAATACTGTACTAACTAGAAAATCCCCATGTTGTTTAGGCTGCCTTGACTCTGAGGTAACTTTGAAACGTTTTCTAATGGAGTGGTTTGGTCTGAAGCAGCAGCTGTTCTGAAATTGAGCTTTTGGCCAGCCCCACTCAAGGGGGAAGTGTGTTACCTTGCAGAGCAATCTCAGTGTGTGTGGACCACACATACCTAGATTATGCCTGTTCTGACACAAAAATAGACTGCATTGAGCAGGGACTGGACTGGAAATGTTTCAGAAGTGCCTGTTAGTGAGTTGTTTTATGGTTCTACAGAAAGCACCGAGACTGCACACTATGTCACTACAAGAACTATGGCACTAACTGATTTGATCTGCTTCTGCTGTTTCAAATTATTTTCTAATGCAAACATAGATTTCCATGTCCAATAATTCTTACTTATGTAAGAATTACCAGTTCCACATTCTAATTTAACACAAATTACCCTGGGTACTACGGAATTTTTTGGTGGTAGTATAGATCCCTCTGCAGGTTTCCTCTTGCAAAGACTGAGTAACCTGTGCAATGCTTCTTGTCACAGTCAGACTGCTGCTGACCTCAGGTTAGCTTAGGTAGCTGCACATCACACTGCAGTTAATATGCAGCGTTCATAGTACGTGATGAGGAACTAGAAAATCATAATGACATGTACAACCTGAAAAAACCCCCACTGTCAATCATTAAATGGTGAAAATTAGCTTTAAGCTTGATATTACCATCCTCTCACAGTGGTTAATGATAGCCATTATAAACCAGAATTAATTCCAATTTATCTGCATATTCATTAGGAGCTTGGTATACAACCTCTCATCTTTAGCTATGCAATAGTTTTAAAATATACTCAGTGCTGTCATCATGATTCTACTGCCTCAGTACGAAGATGTACTTATGATTTTGTCCTTCTCAAAATTGATTTTTTAAAAAGAGAGAAAATACAAAGAGCGGAAAGAAAATTGAGGTTATTCAAAAGACTAGGATACAAAAAGGCAAGATATGTGCAAATAAAAAAAACACTTACAACAAAATAGTCTCAATTTCCCTAGAATCATAATGAAATCAAAAGGTTTTTATGAGGTTTATAAGAGGTTTATAAGAGGTTTTCTTTTTCTACCCATTCAACTGAAATTATTTGTCAACCTTCGTTTAGACTCAGTTAACATTGTTAAGAGGCAGAACTCACACTAATTAGCAACTTTTTAGAGGCTGTTCGGTAAAAAAGTAATTAAAAAAGAAAAAAGACACTTCCACAATGGTACTCCACTCACATGTTAAAGTGTGACTGAGGAAGTAGGTACTGCAGGATTTATTTGAGGAATAGTGAGAGATGAAGTCTTTACAATCAGAATATGAAAGCAAGATCACAAAACTCCCTTGGAAGCTACAATTTCCTATGTTCTATAGCTCATGGAATAATTTCTTAAATAATTTTTTTTTTAATGAGTTCTTTGCTGCTGCAGCAGAAATTAATATCTACACCTTATTTGGCATAAAATTTCCAGACAGTGAATCCTACCACATCTGTTCCATGTCTTCTTTCCAACAGCAGTCGGAAGACATTAGCTGTAATCTTGTTATCTTGAACACCTTGTCCAAGGCCACGGTTGTCATCCTGCATAAGCCGACGATCCATGATCACTTCCAGCTGACCTGAAAGAGCAACATGAGGATTATACTAGTATCAAGAAGAGATATCTGTTCCATTAAACATAAATAACCTGCCCTAACATTTTACTTATTTTTAAAAAATCATAATATTTCTCTTGAGTTTGGAAGAGCTAGGGCTGATCAATATTGTTAGGGTTAGGGTTGATTATAAAAGCAGTTAATACCACTGGACTGTGGCTGTTTATAGCCTTCAAAAAATTTGTCACAAGCCGTTCTGCAGAATGTCCAGCAATTTTTACTTTCCGAGTTTAAATAAAAGTTGAATATGAAAAATTATTACTATTGACTACTATTTGCAACAAGGATACTTGGCAATCAAACATCCAACATAAGAATCACTCCCAAGTATAAGAGACCTTCTGCAAAGGAAGTATCTTCACCTTGTACTCCATTCTTTTGTTTCACATTTGAAGTCAGAAGGAATACAAGGTATCAAGAGGGGTATAGAAATACTTACGATCACTTCGTTCTTGTATGGATAACTTCACTTGTGGGAATAGGAAAGAACTTTGCACTGGATAAGCACTGAATATGAAATTCTGAGTTTATTCTGAACTGCAGCATGGCCACTCAAAATAGCTCTTTAAGCATGATGTTAAATTATATATAACCTGAACAATGAAGTTCACATTTTTTTTAAGTGTCTGTCTCCAGAAGGAAACCAGATCGGGGCATGAAATTAAGGCTGTTATGTTTTTTTGCATAGTGAATCTTCAAAGAAGTGTACGTGTTTCCTAAATAAAACAGAGACTGAAGTGTTTGCATCCTGAAGAAGTTCACAATTTAAGCTTCTAGAAAAGGCTGCTTACTAAGGCAGTCTTTTTTATATTTCAGTGTTCTACAAATACCCGATTTTATCAAATACTTGTTCTTCCCTTCCCTCGAGTACAAATAGATTTTGTTTATCCAGGACAAAAATCAGCTGACAATGAGTAAGACAAAAACCTCCTATCTTTAACTAATGTACTGTTCATGTAACTTTCAGATGGTGGGTTGTGCCTTGAGGCACACCTGTGTCTCACACACAGGCACACAGCTACTGAGGTTTGCTTGCCTAAACTGTAAGATTTTTAAATTTTCTTCTGTGATCCCTCTGAGCTCCTGAAAGACTTTCAGAAAAAATATCATGAAACATATGACACTCAGCAACCACTGAACCTTCAGCTTCATTTCTGTTCTCTTTTGAGGAATCCAACATGCCTTCAGGACAAGGTAGCCAATTTAGTAATTTAATGAAATATTACTTAATGATAACAAATCAGATTAATTAATTCTCCTTTTTTTCTTAGTGGGCAACGAGTAAATATTTGACATTGGTGTAGCTTAAATTACATAATACAATTTGTCAAGGAGTGAAACGGTCAAGAAATCAATGTCATCTTAGGTATGGGATACATCTGTTGCTCTTTTATTTAACTGGAGTAGGTGAAAAGCATATAATGTCATCTGAGAGATTTGAAATAAGGGCTCACAGGTGGTCAGTTCCTCCCTGATGCTTAACTGCAAAATGTCGAACAGCGCTACCCTTAACTTTGCCAATGTGATGGCAGACAGTGGGAGTGTCTGTGGATTTAGATGGTGCATTATCTTGTGATGCAGAGACTAAGATTGTTAAAGAACAAATACAGATACTATTATCAGGTAACAGAGCCTCTGCAGACTAATTTAGTCTCTAACTAAATTAGTATCTAGTATCTAGTATCTGGTAGACTTGGGAGAAAAGGCTGGTATTTTCCACCATGGTTTTATTACAGCATCACTGCATAGGTCAGTGTTAATTCCTTACCCTAAAGTGAATTAGGTTTGCTAATACTGCCACCAATCCAGCATGGTATTCACCTTTTGTAATAACAGAGTATTTATGACATTCTTCTTAAAAGAAACTGTGAAGTAGGTTTTGGTGCAGTTTCTGATGGACTTTCTCTTCTGAGTATTCTTTCCATTATTTTCCAAAATCATATAAATTTAAACTGACAACATATATTATAGCAAGGAATTATACACATTAAGTTATAAAATACCTTATTTTGCCCACTACCTCTATCTTTATTTGAATAGTGCCCTCATTCTGATAGAATGAATAACTGTCCTCTATTTCCAGTCCTCCAGGCCATTCATCATACCCTTTTCTGCACCAAGGAGCAAGACTGTGTCTCTTTTGGAATTCTTAATATGAATTGATTTTTCTTGTCAACATATTCATCAGCTCTGTCAAACTAACCATTAAATTTGTGAGGTATCATTTTGCTTTAGAAGTACATTAACTCTTACCCAGGGTCATATTTATCCTTTATTTCACTAACAGTAATCTTCAAAATAGCTGCTGTTGTTTTTCCTTGAGAGGGAAGTTAGGCTATGCTGTATATACCTTAAGACTAGTGCTGTATACAGTAAACCAAACAAACAGAACAAAAACCATGATCAGCATCCTTCTTAAGTCCTCTCCTACCAGGGCAGTATGAAAAAGAAGAAAGTCTTTAGTTCTGTTATTTCATTCTACCAGAGTTCTTTAGTGAAAAATAGCTGGTTCTGATAATTTATTGTTCTTTCTTTTTTTCAATCTTTTTCCTCTGCCTCTAGTTTGAGAGAGATCTTTCATTGAAGATGACACGAACTCATGTGGGACCAACCTCTTCCTTCTCTGTTACAGACATACTCTAAAACTTGTCAGAGTTGGAGAAACTTATTTCCTCTCTTCAAATGCTTGTAGGTAAGTACAGTAATCTCTGAATTAACTATTTCAGAATATCATGAAGGAGAGACCTTTGTCATATCTTTCATCTTATATTTACCATTTTTCAAGCTTGCAACACCTAGAGACTGAGCTGAATGAAGTGTCAAACGAATGCCAGCTTCTTGGATATAAGCCATGGTAGTCATAGGATAGATATTTGCTTGAAGAGGCAACTTGCTCATCGTCAGTCTAGGCTGGATCTGCAATATGAACACAAACTTCAAAAACATACATTCTTTTTATGCAATTAAATTTCAAAGACATTTTCAGACATTTATCCCATGTGCTTTAGAAGAACAACCATCACAAAAGCATTCACTCAACTGTATTATTTAGTTTTTTTGAGATTTCTGGCTAAAATTACCACTTTGGAAATGGCAGCTTCAGTGTACTTTTAGATCAAAGAATATTAAAAAATCGTACAAGATTCATCAAGGGAACCTACAAAAAGGGAATCTATAAAAAGGAATAATCACAGTTATAAAATGAGAGAAAAAAATTTCTCCTCTAGAGAGCAAGGAATGAATAGATTTAAGGTAGGATAAAAGGAATTGTTGGTTTATAATGGGCACTTATTGAAGTGCTGTTTAAATTCTTGAATGGTATATAACAAATGAGTAGTTGTATTAAAATTACTTTCACGTTTAAATATTCGCTGTCTCCAGCAAATGCAGTAGTACCAGTAACTGGAAAACCAGTCATCTTTTACTCAGGAGTCACGGTCTCCCTGTATTTGCAAAACTCTTATTAGCAAGAAAGGAAGGTAAGGAAAAACAATTTTTCTCTCTTTTGTGTGTGCTGCACAGTTCAAGTTAAGACAATAGCCCTTTCCTCAGATGTATTACCAATAGAAAAAGCATAATACATCCAAAATACATCATTTATTTCCAATACAGCAGCAAGCAGCTGTTCACTAGGTGCGGTCCTTATACATTGTGCTATCCAATGGGTTCTAATTAAACAAAGCAGAGGAAAAGAAGTAATGCATACATTTAAATAACTAACTACATGGTGAGTTGTCATAACTTGTTGTATTATAATTCTTCTCTTTAAAAGAATTTAAAGGAATATTCAACAAACGTCTTAAAAGCACACAGTTACTTCTTAGTCTGGTCTACATCAAATTTTATAACAGGTATATTTTTATAAAGCATTTCTCCTTTTAAATGACAAGTGCAGTTTGTTTAATATAAGCTCTTTACATTTAGACAGTCAAAACCTGACACCCTAAGCTTTTACAATTAAAAGATGGTAATTACCTGATATCCATTAAGATCAGTATAGAATCTATTTTGACTGTTTATGTCGGATGAAATTCTCATTGCAAGTTCACGATTATATTCCCCTCTTATGTCCACAATATTGGAAACTTCAAGAGACTGACCTTCCAAACCTACATGAAAAAGATGCATTTAAAATCTCTAAAAGTGATTGCTACATGTATAAGAATGACTGTGCTCCCAGGACACAGTGATCTAGATTTTGTATTTTCTTATACCTAATCGGACGTTGGAAGACAGTTCAGTTATGCAACAGATGATATAGCAATATTTCTAATTTGCTACAAATTGAACTGACAGTATGAAAGAGAGCAGTGAAGAGGAACAGGAGCAATACATGAAAAGAACCACTGTGGGTTCCAGTAAACCAGTAGGGAACAGCACACAGCTGTTAAGTGCTGTCTTTAAATAAATTTGCTAGAGCAAGACCTGGCTCCCCTTCACTCTTAAGCAGTTGTCCCCATTCCCAGACAAGAATGAAGTTACTAGATTCTTAATAGAACTGTTCAACTGAGCAACAAACTTTGAGCAGCTCCTTTAATCAAATGAGCAAGAATCTTCCTTAAGGACAGTGAATTAAGAAATTGGAACTGATACAATCACATGCAGGACACAAAACTTTGTTGACAGGGAAAAGGTTCGTATTTATTAAAAGACGGATTAGGTGTCTGAAAATTCAGACAAGTTGTTCAGTGAGTTAGGTTTTTTTCCTACAGTGCCTTGTACTAAAAATTAAATACCTTTAATAATAACCTGACCTTTTCAAACAGTTCAAGTCACAGTCTGAAGTGGAATCATACCATCATTCAGCCTCACCACTTCTACCCTTTCTGTAGTCTAATGGGACTAATGATTGCAATAAGAATTGCACTAAGCAGAACACAGATATGTACTTGTTTCCCCATCTATTTTAAAATCTAAATGCCACCTGCAGAAGTACAGCAACTGTTCAAATGTTAACATTTACCAACGGTTATTAAACTTCAGTGCTAAATCAAAAACACTTCGTTCAGCTAATTACTTCTATTTTCCCAAACCTAGTATGGAAATTGCAGATTTATATGCTCCACTTTTGATGTTCCCAGTTATAGATTTTCCAAATATTTCAAGTATTTTTTCCAGATATTTAAAAGCATGAGTACATTAAAGAATAATGCAGTAATTTAATTTAGACTGTCATAATTTTTGTACTGCATAATTTGAGAGTATACAAAAATAAAACTATGCAGAAAATAAAGTATGACAAGCTTCTGATAAAAAGATTAACATAATTATGCTAATGTCAAAACCAGATGCCAATGGCAGCAAAAGTTAAAAATCACTCAGTCGTCAATTACTGAATAGAGCTGTCAACCCAGAGTATTTTCTGCCCAAAATAAACAGAATTTTAAAGCCAAAAGTGGTAAAAGCTATTTTCCCCAAAACTGCTGAAGATGTAGGAGTTGGGAGTACTATCTAACAGCTGGATTAGCCACACAATCAGTCTTGCTACCCCTTGGCAAGCAGGTAGGTTACAACAGGAAATGAGATTCTGATTTGAAATCAAAATGCATTTATACACATAGTGATTTTTCCCACAAGCTTTGTAACTGTACATGTCTAGTAAGAATTCAAAATATCTTATTTTAATTGAAGCAATGCTATATAAATAACTCCCCTTACAAAGCCAAGGAAACAGACCTCAGCCAAACAATGATGCAAAGCTATGAAATTTTAAACTTTGAAAAATAACACTTTAAGAAATTTAGATAAAAACACACCAAAGAGCAAACAGACAATATATAAAATATATTTTGCATCATTTTTCCTTGTCAAGTAGAAACATGGTACAGGACTTACCCGTGTACACTTTACATTTGTAATGGTGTAAGTATTGAAACATTGTGATGAATTAAAAATTGTCAGAAAAACCAAAGGAAAAAAGTAGACAGTATACTCAGAAGAAAAGATAAATTTAAGTGTTAGGAATTGGCAAGCAAGTGATTTTTACTGACAACTCATTTTCTTTGAACTGAAATACTTCCAGCAGGTATTTAGTAGCAAATTAAAGAAAAAGGAGTACTACAGAATAATCCACTTTAAAATAACAACCTCTTCCTATCAACAAAGAAAAAAAAAGGCTTTTCAGACTTTTTCCCTTGCTGAGAATTTTAATTTACTAAAACTCACACTGGAACATAACTTTTTTTGCACATTCTTGGCAACCTGGTACCTCTTGACCTCGAACCATCTTTTTCCATATAAGATGATTTTAATAATTTGTCACATAAAACAAATATATATATATATAGTCTTGAATATATGTTGTGTTTCCTTAGGATGTTCAGCAAAGAATGCAAACTCATGGCTTGTGTTCCTAAGGAGTGTGAGCTAATGTTTGATCCAAAACTACTGTATCAGTGGGAACTGAATTCTGATGATCTTTTGGCATAGGTATAAACTCCAGCAACTTCATCCTTCAACGTACACATGTCACAAAAATGAAGCATCTGAATCCATTTTAGTTCTAGATTGAAATACACTAGAACTAAAATAAAACAAAAAACAAACAAACAAAAAAAAAATCAAAGAGATGATGTCATTCCTATTTTTTGAGACCTAAAAGAAAGAGAAGAGCAAGCAAGACTTTCAAAGTACTTACAACTTTGTTTTAGAAGTTGTTTAGGAAAAATAATTAAATATGGAAAATAGGATTTTAAAAAACATGAAGACAATTTTGACTCCTACAGTAAAGTTGGTAATACAAAACATGTAAGTTACCTCAACTGAAAACATTAATCAGTGCTTCTTTATTTCAGAATAATTCCAGTAAATATAAATAATGAATGCATGTTTCTTAATTACAGAAAGATACACTTAAGCACGTTAACTCGAGTTTCCTTATGAAAATAATTGTATACAATTGCACCATGATTTCCTCCCTCTTACATATTTCAATGGCTAATTCCATCAAGTTTTTCAAGTTTTTTAGTGGCCAATTCCATCAAGAAAGGGTAGAGAGTTTCTAAAATTACTGCTTACCTAGAATTTCCTTAGAAATCAGTAGCTGCACAGTAGAGAAACAAGCAACTTAAAAAGAAAACTGAAGGAAACAAAGGAAAACTAGTATGATGTTATGTCCTAAGAGCCAAAAAGTTGATGTTTGGTGCTGGTGCCTCTCAAGAGACAAAGACAATTCTGTCATGAGCTCTCCCAAGCAGAAAAAGGACATACAAAGGGAGATAATAAATAATGAAAGCCTAAAGTTGTGAAGTAAACCAGATTTCTCTATTAAGATGACTGATATACATTGTACTTCCATCAGTAAACGTGAAACTATGAAAGAAACTATGTTCTTACATTCTCTCCAAGGTATTTCATTTTTTTTTTTTTCTGATTTGCAAAATGTGTAGCTAGTTACAGCATTCAGATGAATTAGTAAAGTCTGGAGACATATTTCCAACAAATCTCTTGAGTTTAAGTATACCAGCTTAATGAATAATATGACACTCAGAGAGACATTACAGTACACAGTGAGAAGTGTATGGAGTCAATACAACCTCAGCCTCATGAACTCTACACTAGTACAGAGATGCATTTAAACATTAAAAAGGCAGGTAGGATCCAAGACCATTGTGATGTAAAATGACTGCCAAGAGAGACAGAATTTCACAATTCTTACCCTGGATTTTATACAGCCGCATGGTATGTGTCACGTGGTGAAAAAAACAAACAACTTCTGAGAAAATCGTTCCATGAGCAACTCTTATGGTAGGTGGGTCTGTAAAAATATAAGGCTACAAAAAGAAAACAGAAAGTCAGAGTGAGTATTTTGGAAACTTTTCATAAATGTAGTGTCAATAAATTAAAGTATTTAATAAATATTAAAACAGTGGGTTCTTAAACCATTCTAGATCTAAAACACTGGAGATTAAAATTTATTCCTAATCTGAAATTCAGCAACTTCTCTTCAGAGTCCTATATTCTTTTCAGCTAAAAGGTTAAGTCTCATTACACATCTCACAAGTATTTTATGAGGATTAAGTGATACCAGGTCTATAAACAAGGACATGAATGTATTGATATTGCATCTGGATTGAGCTCTTTTGCTAGCAAAATTGTAACCACTAACCACTAATTAAATACTGTACTTTCAAAATTTGGTGCACGTGGTTTGACTACCTCCATCAGTGGTACACGCGGCACAAGGAAAGCCTCCCCTACTCTGCTGTTTAGATCAGTTTGCATATCCTTTGGAAAGAGAAGAGAAAGCTTTTTCTTCATCAGAAGCAGACACAGTTGTTGCCAGTGGAGCTCTCTGGAATGCAGGGTAGGGCTGGAAATCATTATGAAATATCAATAAGGACAGTGGCTTACTACTCATGGCTCCCACAGACTGGGGCAAATTTAGCATATTCACAGTCAAACCAAAGAGATGAAAAAAATATCTTTCCATGTAGTCACAGTATTTAGAGTCTCGGCTAGGCAAACAGTGACTTAAAAAAAAAAACAAAACAAAACAACATTGATCCCACACTAAATTGTGTGTACCAGATGGAAATAAATGGATGGCTGCAAAGGTAAAAATTAATTAAATATTGAGTGTACAAGCCAAAAATGAAAACACAACACATGCAACTACTTCAATAGGGAAACAGCTGTAAATAAAGACTTCACTCACAAAAAATGCATCCCAAATGCTTGAAAAACACATTATTCAGAGGGATCTAGGCAGAAAGCTCTCAGAGGGTGGCTGTCTTACTTCTGTATATAGCAAGGCCACAAGGACAGAGCATGGTCTTTCTTGAAGAAATGACACCAAAGAACAAATGCATCTTGAGGAAGAGCAGAGATAAAGCTCACATACATACAGACAAAACACACTAGAGAAGAGCAAGTACAGGTAAATATCCAATATTCTTTGAGCATATAACTGTATGTATAACAAGAAAGATTTCAAGAAGTATTGTATAAAAGAAAAAACTGAAAGGGGTTTTCAAGGGCAAAAAGCTCACCTTTTCTATTCACATACTTATTCTTAGAGCTTCAGAATACTCTTTAATAAAAGCTTTGTCAGAGCTACAAGAGGCAACTCCGCAGTTATCAACTACAGGAATACTTTGTACAGGAGTTTGGAAGAGAAATCATAGTTACTTACGCTTTGATAAGATTGTTTGGTTTAGGGAGAAAAGGCTTTTTCCTACAGAAAATTTTATCCAGTTAACCAATAAAAAACCTCAAAATAGTGTTTTAGACTTCTTGATAGTCTACATGAAAAAATTATGCAATACTTCCACAGGTTCTTGTCTTGTCAATAAGACAGACAAATGTTATCTGTTATGCAAAATCCATTTGCTAGGTGAGAAATTCAGAAGGAATATGGTGTTCAGGGGGCATATTAGACAGATGAGCTAATACACTGAGAGAAAAGAAATTTGAAGACCAGACCTTAGGTTAGAACGTCTTATTTCCATGAAAAACTAACAATATCCGTAACTGTAGACTGAACTCTCCCCTTCTGGCAGAAGAGACTGATATTTGCTTTTCTATCACATATAGGCAGAGAAGACAAACTAATTTGATCAGTGACTACCTGGCTTCTAGAAGTTAAAAATCTCGCAGAGGAGGAACTGGATGACCAAACAAATGGTGGAGTAATCAAACCCTTCAAAATCCTCCCTGCAGGGCAAAGCAAAATGATGATGCTCAAGCTAGCAAAGACAGACTGAAACAGCACCTAAAGGAACTCTCAGAAAAGGACCTGAGAAACCGAGGTCATCAGGACAAGCCAATGACCTGTGACCTAGGAGAATGTCAGTTACACAGACAGCAGACTGCCAAATATATTCTGTTATCAAAGCAACAGAGATCTTATGGTCTTGTGTTGTTTGTAAGAGTATTTCTTGCTCTGCTCTTATGGAGCTAGCCAGCAAAATGGAGAGATGCTGGGTGAGTGACAGGAATACAGAAGTCTGTGCACTTACTAGAAAAAAATTACCTGAAGTAATTTCAAAAATCAAAAATTTAAAAAAACCTAAACCCAAACATTTGCAGGAACTCTTTTCCATTGAGTTTTTTAGTACAAAACATGAGTATGATATTGACAACAGCTATCAAAATACACAGACAACTGATATGAGATTAATATATCAGCTCTCAGATTCTGGGATATTGCCACAAATATTCAGTTCACACATCTGAGGCTCCAGGCTGCACATGTAGCCAAATCAGCTCCTCTTCTGAAGATAAATGCAACTTATTACAGACCATTCCAAACTAAACAGAAAGATGGGCTGATGGAAAAGGAACTGTTATTTTGCAGATATTGCCCGAAACAAATAAATTTTTAAAAAATAATTGTTTTTAATTTTGCTAGGACATGCATTGAGTTTGTAAGCCTCCAATTCAGTCACAGTGCTAGAAAAGGCACAGAAAAGGAAGGTGGCTTACAAAAGCAGACGCTATCATGCAGTTTCGGGGATCAGACAAGTTCTTTCTTATGAAAGAGTGGCAATATCATGTATACTCAAGTTCTCAAGGATGAGTTATGTTCCCTGATTATTGGGCAAGCAGGAAAATTAAAGTAAAAATATGGCAGTGATAGAACAGGGGAGCCTTCAAATTCATATTTAGTGCTTAGAAAAGCACCAATCCTAGAACTTGATTTGTTGATGGTTACCAGGAGAAATACCAGGAGTTCAGAACCTATAAAGAGATAATTGCCCACCAAAAACATTTGAATCAATCAGGCTTTCGCTTTTACACAGGAAAACATCTTTATGCATTGAATATTCAATTATTCTAGTATCACTGTAAAGATCCTTGGTGAGATGCACAGGTTTGTGAAAGGATCCTGGTCCTGGATCTGAAATACAAAGGTACTTTTGATGTGAAAGTCTAAGGCAATGTGGCAGGAAGAAACAATGATAGATATTCGCAAAACTGATTTAACAAAGCCCTTGTCTCAATTCAGTGTTAAGTCTGCTTTGTAAACAAGCATGGACTAAAGGACTTTCCAGCATGAAGTAATCTGTGATTACTCACACCTTGAACTGGAATAAAAATATGTTGCTTTCATATCCAATGGCTAGTCTGAAGACTCCACTTTCTAAAGAGTTAAAATAATAGCTGCTATAGTATCTATTCCCCTCAGCTCAAGTGGAATGAACTCCATTGTACAAGATGCAGCAGCCTGTACAAGATGAGGCAGCTTTGTTGAGCTTGGAAATCAGTATTTTTCAGAAACAGGACAACAGAACTGTGGGCCAAAGGGTTCAGAAATTATCTTTCTGTACTCCTATTCAAGAGAAATAAGACAATCTTTTTTTGGATTATACCCAAAAAATATTGGATATATTGGATATCTTGGATATCTTTTGGAAAGATAGTGGGCAGGACACCTGGGGAGAAGCTAGCTAGGAATTTTAAGGGAAAATACTTGGAACAAAATAATACCTCATGAATGCCTATAGTATATTAAAATACTTAACATCAAAATGGGTGCCAAAGGGTGTAAATAACTGGAGATACACCTTCACCAAAATATTTACTGGCTTGTATAGAAAATGGCATGGTATATTGCAGCCTGGTGGCAGAAAGCATGGGCAATTAACTTTTCCCCTTGTGGACAAGTAAAGCACTCGTAACCATTTGAGTCTGCCCAGGAAAGTAGGTAGTGCAGCACACTGTTGGTTTGGGTGCCAAAAAAAACTATGCCCAGGGGAAAGTTTTCAACCACACATGAAATGTTCTGGATTGGTCTAAAATTTAAAAAGAGAAAAATCACAAGACACAGCCTGCAGGAAAAGGTGTTTCTGCAATCTGCAATAGCAGATTGCCCCTTTTTGGCAGTGTTTGAGGTTAGACTGAGATAATATCATGTATTTCAACTCTAGCACTAGAGATCCTGCAAGGGAAAAAAATTTGTTTTCTTCTATATTCTGTTAGTACATAAGTACCTCTGGGAACTAGTACATACAAAGAATCACAGAACCAGCTGCCTGAGGGAGAATCAAAATTTTCTAGTCTGAATGTACCAAAACCCATCATTTTGATACTGAAAAAAATTATTTGTAAAACAAAAAAATCAACTATTCACATTGATCCCACAAACACTTAGCATCTGATGCTTTGACAAAAACTGCTTTGCTCTATTCCCTATTGATAACAATCAGGACTAGTAAGAAGTCATCACCTATTGACTTGCCTTGAATATACAGAAGAAAACACAGACATTTAACTGTTTCAAAGTTTATTGAATACTGTAGGTTTTTTTCCCATTGATCTAAAAAAAATGAGTTGGACATTCTTCACAAAATCACAGGAATTAAAAAACATGTTTTGTCTTCATGAACAGGACATTTTATTTATATTTATTGTGAGGCTCAAGGAAATCACTTCCTTCCAAACTTCATTAACACTGTCAATCAGTCAAACACTGCACTGACATAAAAAAAATTAAGATGCTGCCTTTTTCCTTTGCTTTCTTGCCTTGTTTTCTGTTTTGATTTTGCAGGAAAAACAAAGGCATACCGAAGAAAAATAGTTCAACATAAAAAGCAATTATTCTTTGCAAATTTTGCTGTAAAACATAGGGTAAAGGAGGTAAGAAAAAAATCAAAACAACAAAACACCTAGCCAAAAATCAAGAAAACTGCTTGCCATCTATCCTATTGCCAATTCACACAAGGACTTAGAAAGTTAGTCAATCTGCATTACAGTACAAACCCTGAACAGATGGCATTTCTTTTAAGATAGAAAGCATCAGCTCAAACTGGTTTTGAAACTACTATAGAATTACTCTGTTATTCCCAGTGGGACAATTTAATTAGTGTTATTAAAATGGAAGCCAAATGAGCCTTATGGTGAAGCAAAATATTAATGAAGCAGAATTTTCAGAAGTGTAACAATTTCATTTTTATTGTATAAAATGTTACAAAAGTCGAACAGAACCCTTTTAATGTTAACTTAAGATGCATTTTAATTTCATTTTTCTTTTCTGATTGTGCTTGCAGACATGTGACAGACTCTCTTCTGTTTAAAGCATATAATTTTGCTGCCTCAATTTGTCCAGAATATTTTCATAAAGCAAATTACTTAAATGTATAGTTAAAATTATGTAACTGCTAGATTTTGTGATTTTTTTAAAAGCAAAAGATGAATTGGAAAATAAAATTAAATGAGTTAAAGTGTGACCATGCAGATAGTGAAAGGTAAAAATTAAAAACCCCAAGTGATATTGTTCAAATATTCACAGATAAAAACACAGTCAAATGAAGAAATATGAAATGGCATATAAAATGAAGGATAAGGAAACCCTGATGAACATATCTGAAGTAAATTATTATGGGACTATATACTAAATAATTCAAACCTTTCAAATCACAGGGCTCAAAAGGTGTGCTTCTAGCAAAGACTGCTAGAAGAAAAGGAAACTGTTCTGTTTCCTTCCAGACTGATTTGCACAGATAAAAGAGGGAAATAGGAAATGAATAAAAGAAAACAGATAGAAAGCCAAACACCTTTCCCTCCCGCCAAAAAGCAGAATGATTACTCTTGTATATTTCCTAAAATGGTAAGCGTAGAGCTCATCATTTACCTTATGTATGTACCTTGAATTTTCACAAGAGAAACTCAGAAGAAATATGCTGCCAACTAGCTAGCTTCATAAATGCTCATTATTTTATCTTTTGCTTTCTGAAATAACACCCTTCCAGTTCCAAAAGGGAAGTAGTAGACTCCATATGGTAATGAAGTCACTGTAAGAATGCTGCCATTTCCCAATTTCCAATTTGAAAATTAATAGGAGTATGCTGTTGCTATCCAAAAATTACACAGCTAAAAATAAAGATAACCCTAGAGAACTAAGTAAGAACAGCTTCTTACTACTCTGTCTTTATATTCGCCAATTGGGACTCAGTATCTTAATTACTAAATTAAACTAAGTATGCAAATATCAGCTTAAAAAGTAGCTCTGAATCAGAAGCAACACATTCACAATTTCAAAAAAAACCCCAAAAACAGAAGAGTGAAGATGTAGAAATGAATCAGTACACATTTTCATCATAGAAAGGAAAAATTAACTTATTTCATCGATAATAAATGGCCACATCCCACTGGATTTCTGGCAAGGATCACATCTTATTTTTTTGGGGGGGAATCATAAATATTGTCTAGATTTTCACCTTTTCCAATTTCTATTGTGTTTTTACTCTGATGTAGGGTTAGGAAGTATGAACTTCTGTCAATCATTTCAATATCTCATGTCATTATGCCTAGCCACACAACTTTTATTTCAGTTTTGGGGATAACTAGCTCTTCCAATCTGTATTTGCCAAACACTTTAAGTTACGTCAAGATTAGAATTTCTTTGCAAACAGAAGGTTTACCTTGGCATCTCCATCTGGTAAGAAGAGATAAGCTCCACTTTTATCTCGGTTACTGGTAGTTCCATACCAAGCAAACTCAACCTTCATTTGATGATTTTTACCATCTTCCTTGCTGTTTATTTTCTAAAAGGACAGCGATTCATGTTAGGTTTCCATAAAGCACACCACACAAAAAGTAAAATATAGTGTTTTGAAATAAAATATAACATACCTCCAGTAATCCAGACATTCCAGAAAACCACAGTTTCATGTATGCATTTTCCAAGATTATATTATCCACAGCATGCTGCATCTCTTTTATCTTGAAAACTCTATCTGGCTTTTCCTGTCTGCTATTCCTTACATATATGTTATAGTCAGCTAAAACTGCTTCTGAACTCTCATCCTCCAGAAGCTGATAAACTCCAATCCCAAGAGGTGGCAGATGTGCCACAAAAGATATCTGTTAGGAGCAAATAAGTAGCCATTACTAAAAATAGCAGAATATCAACTTTTTATACTGAATTTATGTTCAGAGCAACTACTTTTGCTTGAATAATTTTAGGATGGCTGAATTTTCCCACAGTTCATAAATAAATATAAAGAATTAACAAACAAAAATATCTGCATTACTAATTTGCCTAGCATCAAGATTACCATTATATTAATGCAATTACAATTTTGAATCTTTTTAAGAATGTTAGTTGCGATATGCCGTATCAAGTATATTTGCTTTTCATTGAACATGCATGTATACTGGATCAAGTGCACACAGACTCTACTTATCACTTGATTTTTAAATTTAAATTTTAAAATGCATGAATTTAAATAACTAAGTTTAAAGCAAGTGTGTCATTTGCAGTCTCTTTTTTTAGGAGCTATAATCTGCATAGAAGAGTAGTATACAAGGTACATCTCCAATGCAACTTTTTTAGAATTTGAAGTCTAGACAAGTAATTTCACTTCCCATTCTTCAAGCAATAAAAGTACTAATTATTGTGCTTGTTTTGGCTAGGATAAACTTAAATTTCTTTATAGCAGCAATTTTGGTGCTTGGTTTCAGTATCAACCACTTTGATAACACAGGGATAAATATCTCAGCTGCAGCTGACCAGTGCTTATGCAGCATCAGGGCCCTTTCTGCTGCTCCACCAGGGAGGAGGCTGGGGGTGCACAAGGAGGTGAGAGGGGACACAGCCAGGACAGCTGACCCCAACTGACCAGACAGATATTCCAGACCATGTGACATGATGCTCAGCAATAAAAACTGTGAGAAGAAAAAGGAAGGGGGGATGTTTGGAATGATGGTGCTTGTCTTCCCAAGTCACTGTTCCATTTGATGGAGCCCTGCTCTGCTGTTGATGGCTGAGCACCTCTCCAGCCTTGGGACACAGTGAATGAGCTCCTTGTTTTGCTTTGCTTGTGTGCACAGCTTCAGCTTTACCCACGAGCTTTCTCACCATTACCCATCCAATTTTTATCTCCACCCCACTGGGTCAGTGAGCGAGCAAGTGCTTAGCAAGGTCTAACCACAAAATTATCTCTTTGGAACACAACTGAGAGACAGTTAATGAATTAGCTTCACAGAAATATTATCCTGAACCAAGTTCCTATGTCAAAAGGAATCAAAACATAAGCTGAAAGCAATACAGTGTTACTATTGCAGTCATACACCATTACAGTTTCATTAAAAATTTAATGAAATTAATTTCTGATGTGTGATGTGATCATTGAGGACAATCTTCTATAATGATGTACAACCCAAAAATTCTTAGAAGTTTTGCTTCAAACAAAAAACAAGAGGTGGGCTTGAAGATATCTGTCCAGCTTAAGTATTTGGAAGGCATGAGGACATCTAAATGTAAATGCTTAAGTCATTTCATGTACAAGACCTTCCAGCTGGAGTACTTGAGAACATACAGAAGTGTGTCTGTGTGTACAGATTGTCACTTAAAGGAAGAAGCAGCTGAATGGATAAAGTGAGGGGAAAAAACACCCATCCAGTATTTTCCAGTCATGCAGCTGAAACTGATCCTTTAAATGTAGTAAACTATATCACAACAGTTTAACAGCTTATCAGTTTAAGAAACAGTAATACTAAACACATGTATGTTGAAGTTTAGGGTTTTTGGTTTTTTGTGGGTTTTTTTGGGGTTTTTTGTTGTCTTGTTGTTGTTTTTGGTTTTTTGGTGGGTTTTTTTTTTTTTTTTTTTTTTTTTTTTTGGGGGGTTTTTTTTTTTTTTTTTTTTTTTTGTTGTTGTTGCTTTGGGTTTTGTTTGGCCTTTTTTTTTTAACTTAAAGTGACTGAATAGTATTGTCTACAGAGAATAGACTTGCCAGTATATGAAATACACTTTCCATTTTTTTCACCTATGAAGCTATCAAAAAACATATTTTAATGCTTTTTACTTAAAGTAGGGTACCTGATAAGCTTCATGTGATACTGTAGTTGCTCCATCCCAAACAGCACTAATCTGGACAGTAACAGGCTTTCCCAAAGGAGACAATAATTTGACTCTGGGTGAATTCACATTGACGGAAACCACTGAAAATCGCTCCTGTTCTGTTGGATTATGTATCAAAAGGTATCTGAAAAAAAAACATATTTACTAAATTATCTTTTGGCAATCAAGCTTCCTCCTTCAGATTTAATGTTACTGCACATAAACTTAACATACAGAGGATTAAAACAACGTTAGAACAACAGGTACATACCACAACAAATAAATATACAAAACATAACCAAGAAACAATGGATATTTAACATCAATTGTTTGCAGATCTTCTTTTCTTAATGCTATTATTTGTCCAAGAAATTTTGAAAATTCCTTACAGAAAATACATCTATTTCTCATTATAATTGCTAAAGAATTTCTATTTACAGTTGCAAGCACAATCAAGATAATTAAGGGCATTTAAAATTTATTTTTCAGGCTGAACTATCAAATTCTCATCCACAATTGCCTCTTTTTAACACAGCTTATAAAAAATGAGGGGAAAAAAACTGGCTCTACATATATATATTCACTAAAAGAACTAATATCTCTCTCCTATAAGGAAAAGCACAAATTATTTAAATTATAATTTAGCATCATTCACTATGGCAACTACTTCCATATCTTCTTAATAGGAAGATGGAATAACTATTCCATACACATGGAATAACTATTTTTTTCTATAGCCTTCCATTTGAACACAGATTATGCTATTAACCAAAAGAATCAGCCCTGAGCTGAAGACTGACTTTATTAGCCTATATATTTTTTTATTATTATTACAGATTTATGTATTGTAAGGTATAGGAAAAACAGAACTATACTAGAACATTTGTGGTTCATGCATCTGTAGGACTATCATTGTACCTCTTGTCTTTTCACTGACAAGCTCAAAGAATGCAATATTTACAGCTGTTCCTGGAAGTTTCCCTCTGTTTGTGTCATCCTTCAGAAGTCTTTTACAACAAAAACTGCTCTTGCCAAAACTTCTGGTGCCTTCTTAACTATATACAGCAGAACCAATACTCTATCTTCAACCTCCTTAACACGCCCCACTGCAAAGCAGTTTACTCCTTCATGGGATCTGATCCTACACCCCATCAGATCCATTTACTACTTATCCAATCACTCCTTCTGTATTTATTCTAAGTAGATTCTCCTTCTTCTCAGCTCTGTGTTTTCTATGAAGATTCTTCATGGTTTTGTTCATGGTTTTATTTCTTTTGCTTTCACATCTTAAACATCAAATTCAATTACCTGCTTCACAGACCAAACCATTTCACCTAGAATTGTCTCCATCCATAGAATCTACAAATCTCGTTCAGAATCCTGACCAGGCCACCATTTCCCACTTTATCTTCTTACTGGCTTCCTCTGTTTGCCTGCATCAAACTTGGCTAGTAAATTTCCCAGCACTCCACTGCTACCCTATTACCTCACAATCAGCATGAAATGAAAGGTCAACTCCAGCTTCTCATTAGTTGAATAAACAAAATCAGAGGCCTTATTAGCTTTTCATATCAAGAACTTTTTGATTACTTGCCATATATCAAATGAGCTTCCCATAAAAAAAAATAATTTCCTTTTAACTCCTTAAATTCCTGTGCTGAAATATTGTTTAAATCATGACTTCTAAGTAAACCAATGATTTTCAATGTGCATTTGTGATCACAACCAAAAATGCTTTTGGATGCTTTTTTTTGCCCTGTTTCATACTGAAGACTCCTAGATTACTAGACAATATAATATTACCTATATTCTGGATTAGTTTTCAGAGTCTTTAAGAACTTGTGCAAGACTTTCTGAGAACCTCCCCTAGACTTGGGTAGGGCAATTTACATTTCTGCTTCTTTCAGACAAAGATTTTAATTTAAATTTTTTTGGTTAATCTCAATAGTTGGTTTTGTTGGTTTGTTTTGTTTTTTTGGTTTTTTTTTAAATTACATTCATGGAATCAAAAAACCTAGCTAAACCAACCCTCTTCTCAGTCTCAACCCACTACAAATAGGAAGAGAATAGAAATTACATAAAATATTTTTAAGAACTCCTCATGTACTGTGAAAGAAGACTGTTAAGAACTCTGTCAGAAACAATACAGATTGAGAGATGATTGAACACCAAAGCTCAAAATAAATCCTCATTCTCATCCATCAACAGAATACCACATCTTTTTTTCTTTATTCTTCTTATTCAATTGAATTCATCAACTCCACTTGTGCCTCCAAGTGAAAGGACACCTTATGCATATAATAATTTTTTCAGTAATGTTGCAAATCCTCATTAAATTTAAATTATTTGCCAAGCAAAGAACATATTAGTGCAAAAAATATTCCCAGAAACTTCACCTTCCCAGAGCTACGAATATATTTCACAACTTTAATTAGTTGTATGACAAATTTACCTGTAACAAAAGGTAAAGGTAAACATAACCTTCAGTCTTATGAACTGTCATATTATTATTATATTTCATCAGGCTTTTTAAAAAATTGTATTTGGATTAAACAAATCTATTGCTGTATCAAAATATATACATTTTTTAACTTCTTGAATCAATGTATTTTAAGTTCGTTATGTGTGTGTAGAGTAATAAGACAGAGGAGGTTAGCAATGACAGGGCAGATTTTCAGCACTTAAAATGCAGGAGTTTTGATTAGATATTAATATTTTGTTTCGACATACTATTTCAGGAGGACTTTAGTAGTTATACAAAGCAAGACATAATTCTTGTGCATATACAAAAGCACTCACTAATCTAATTAAATCACATTACTTCTGATGCACCATTTAACTCCACCCTGAAATAATATCCCACTATAAAAACTGTAGATTTTATTTGAAAAAAAAATAGCTACACCTCACTTAAGCTGTATCATTGCAAACACTGTCACACAAAAAGCTGTGTACAATTGCTTAATGCACTGTGGTTGCATTACAGAGAGAAGCAACTTGATAATATTTAAAGGTTTTCTATTCCTTATCTTAAGGCAAAACCATGAATATTACTGTCTTTCAAAAAAGGCAAGCAAATATTTTCTTTTCATTATTCAGGTCACTGGTGTTTGGCAATAACAGCAATAAAACTATTAAAGTTTATATCTTTCATTCAGTTAAAGAGTGAATGGTTTTAATGGTTATTGGCAAAATTAATATTAAAAATTTTACCTGAAATATTTTACTATAGAGGCACCATTATGGCCAAGAGTCAGCCAAAATTTATTTTATTTATTCAAGAAATCTAAGAATGATAAAACTATGTTAAAATAAACTGCATTTATACAAAAACTGTAACTAAACCACTCACATGGAGACTATGTATTTCACCTCTGCACTGGGAGCAGAGTTAATTGCTCCCAGCCCATTCAAAAAAGAGAAGTTATTGAAGATTTGAGCTCTTAATCCTAAATTGGATGCATCACAAATATTTGAAATTTAAGAAAAGGAAATCCTGACACCTTTTCAGACACTTTTGGAAAGATATACCTTAAATTCTGTTACCCCATACTTTTTTGAATCTCTGAAATTCAAAACAGGTATCTTTTAGACGTACAAGCATGAGCACTTTCCCTAGATAATCTACTATTAATAACAGTAATTAACTCTATTGTAAGTATACAAATAATAATATTTTGACCAGTCTTTCCTGTAGTACAAGATTTAACTCATTGCGGAACATTTTCAGCAAGAGCTGTAACGCCCCCCTCCCCTGCCACCCCACCACTTCTTACTTCAAGTACTTTCATTATTAAATTAAGAAAATATGTAAACTGCTGTAGCGTTATTTACAGACAAAAATATGAATAAAGATTATTTATTTAGATCTCTTACAACTCTAATCTCTGCCTCCTAAAATAATATTTTTTCTAAACCAGAAGAGTTTCAGTATTTCAAAAGATCATTGTTTTCTGTTTGTCCAATGTGCATAAACATACAGGCATATATGTTGATACACACATTTACTACTAACACCTGCAACACACTTACCATGATTACCACTTCCTTTTGAAGTTCATTCATCCTTCCTTCACAAGGGATGCATTCAACTAAGGTGAGAAACCACAACTCACTACTAGTAAATGTCAGAGCATCATCAGTGATAAGTGCTTATTCAAAAACCACCTTTCAAGGCACTTGGGATTTACAATTCAAGACAATAATATTCACTGTTCAACAGAGTAACTTTATTCAAATACATATGGAGAACCAATTCCTTGTGGACTTCTATCTCAGACTGACCAATTTTACTAAAATTTCTTCACCAAACCTTCTGAGATGGATTGCAGCATTTCCCATTATAAATGGTTTCATCAGAATCAGTTCTTTGGATCTATAAGCACAATTTTAATGCAAAGTTACATGAACAAAACCTTCAAAGCTGATTAGTTTCTTTCACTCTTTCCTATAAGGCCAAGGAAAAACCACCTAAGTGTTGGAAAAAAAAATGCAACAAGTACCCAAAACTAAGAAAAGATACAAGTCATGAAGCTAAATTATATACTATATCAGTGGTCTTCCAGTGAAGAACAAAAGTGAACAAACAGATGCCTGTGAGTTCTGAAAGGAACAAGAGAGGAGTAATGAAAACAGATTTAAATGCTTTACACTATAGAGAAAAGGAATTTAAGTAACTACATAAGATAATAGTCACCAGAGAGGCTGGTTGGTTAGAAACCACAACTCAGCTAGAAATGTATCCTGACTTCTTGGCTCATGATGGATTTTGATAGACTAGGACTTAAAAATTGTAAACAAAACTGAAATTCTCAAAAAAAAAAAATCACGTCACTGGGTAATTTAATCAAAACTGTCTCACTTTTAAAATCTTGGAATTGGAAGAAAAAATTGCTTCGAAAGATGGAAAAAGAGTCAGTAGGTAGTAACGTTTAATTACTGAACACTGATGTACATGAGGTAGAAACAAACTAGGGCTTAATATTTAAACTGCATAAAGCACTGCTTGCCATGGTAGCTTCCAAAAATACCATTAAAAAATCAAAACTGTGACACTTCTGATGTATGGCGGAATTTCAACCAAAAAAACCCCAGAAGTCCAAGAAAATGAGAATCATAAGAAACTGTCATGAACTGCCATTACAC